TCCCCTTCCTGGCCTTACCCCAGGGTGTATCAAGGTGCTGTGCATTTGCCCTGGTGCCCTGCTCATTTTGGCACTCTCTGAGCAGCGTGTGTCACAGGCTGCTCTGCTCTGCTCTTCTCTCCTCCCCTGACCCCAGAGTGAAGCGTGTGCAATGCAGTGGCAGGGTAGTGCTGCTTTGGTTTCTAGTGTGTAGGCTGCATGGTATCTGTATTGGGACTGGAAGAAAGTTCTTTGGATACATGCGATATCTTTTCTTAGAACAACTAAATAGCTGGGAACAATGTTCTTTGCAAGCTTTTGGGTACCAATAGCCTCCTTCAGGCATAGGGAGAGTCAGTGGTCACTGTAGATGTAAATAGGGGAAGGACAGGGGGTTTGGAGTGGCCTTGGTTCTGTGCATGTCTGCCTACCCTTTAGTTGGGTCCTGGGGGAGTGCTGCATCCTGCATGAGTGTGCTTGACCTTATTGGTGAGAAACTCCAAGCAGAAGAGTTGTTGGCTGTGTGCTCTAGGTGATCTTTAGATGTGTTGCAACTTCACTGTTGAACGGCTGGGAGACGAAAGCTGTGTTTGCTGAGCCTGGCACTGCTCTACCCTGGGAAGCCAACGCAGAAAGGGCAGGGCAGGGTGGGTGTGTTCACAGAGGTGTTCTGAGGAGGAGAAACCTGTTCTTTGCTGGCTGGAGTTCCTAAGAGCTGATGGCTTCCTGCCCAGGTGTACTGTGTTGCTGTAGGCTAGAGAGAGGTGATGGAGACAGGTGTAACCAAGATCAGGGGGTTCTTCATCCACATGGATTCCATTGAGTGGCATCCCTTATAGACCTGCACTGGTGTCCACAATGGTAGGACTTCTGTAGAGCAGCATTTCCCAAACTTCTGGGGTCCATGCTGCATTACAGCAAAGCTGGCCACTTCTCTCCTTACCATCACCTTTAGCTGACAGTTTTTTTTCAGTGCTGTCGAATCAAACTTTGCTTGTTTGTTTGGTTTCTGTTAAACTCTGATCCTGCCTTCTAGGAACTTTTTTCAGGGTGCTTGTTCTCTAAAGCAGCATTTTTCAAAATATAGGGCAAGTATATTTTTAGTATATTATATAAAGAACAATATAAGAACAGTCACGCTCGAAAGTTACTATTTGTGACTTTTTTTGTGGTTTTTTTTTTTTTTTTTTTTTTG